TTTTTCTCTCTCAAAAAAAAAAAAAGAAAGAAAGAAAAGAAAAGAATTCTTGAACCTTGAAACATAATTTATAAAACTTATCATCCTATTTTTCTAATAAATGTTAAATTGTTTTTATCATTATCGTATTTTAAATTATCGTATTCTCTCTCTCTCTCTCTCTTTCTCTCTTTCTCTCTTCTATCTTTATACATATAGAGATCTTAAAAAAAAAAAAAAAAAAAATAGTTACGAAGCATGAAAAAGCATAGCTCATAAAAATCGTCGTAAATATATGATGAAATAAAACTTCCTAGATGATCCTTAAAAATCAATTACATTCTTTTTCCAGAGATTTTAGGCCAATTTATTTTTGTTTTCTTTTCAGATTGTAAAATTACGCGCAAGCTCAACTGAAAGCTTATAAACATTCTCGAAAGAGAGAGTATTTTTAATTAATTTTTAAAATCAGTTAGGAACTTTTGGCTAACTAAATCCCTGTTCCTTCTTCACCTATGTACCTTTAACTCGTTAATTTGTTTTTAAATCAAATATTGTTGGTTTTTTATTACCCTGTAAATAAAAAAATACTACTAAAATACTACTACTACTACTACTACTACTATTACTACTACTACTACTACTATTACTACTACTATTACTACTACTATTACTACTATTATCGCCATCACTTTTTTTCTCTCTCGTTTTAAAAGAAATTTTGAAACTATTATCAAAAGTTACAATGTAATGGAACCTCGGTGATATACCACGTCCTCTTATCTCTCTTGCACTCTCTCCCTCTCTCTCTCTCTCTCTCTCTCTCTCTCTCTCTCTCTCTCTCTCTTTCTCTGCTGATAAAAGAGAAAAAGCTCGCTAATCGGTCCGAGTTAATCGCTCCAACTGTAACGGAAATGCGAGAACGATTACGACGAGCTCTGCTACGAATCGAGAACAACGAGGTCGAACGAACATACTCTCTCTTTCTCACTGTCATACATATATACGTACAGTACATAGAGTACATACGTCAGACTCCCAACATAGAAACGTATAATTGTTTCATTCATTGTACTGAGTTATCTTGATCTCTCTCTCTCTCTTTCTTTCTATTGAAAGAAGAAACTAATTGTTGGTTTTAATTGTTTCATTTCACGCTCTCTCACGTTCTCTTTCTCTTTCTCTCTCTCTCTCTCTCTCTCTCTATCTATCTCTCTATCCTCTATCTTTTTTCTTTTTCTCTTCCCAATGAACGAAATGAATCTTAACGAGACGCGAATCGTTTGCCAAAAAGTAACGATGAAAATTTTAATAACCGTTGGCGCGTTAACGAACGCCAGCTGCACTTCTACGAATCCTTTACGAGCCTTAGCGAAGGAGTTTTGCAGTGATTGCATTCTTAAGAAGAGGAAGAGAATGCAAAAGAGAGAAAGGGAGATGGTTGAAGAATGCGAACGTTGTAAAGAAGAAGAAGAAGAAGAAGAAGAAGAAGAGAAGAAGAAGAATGAGAAGGGTGTGGAAGGTTGTTAAATGAAAAGGAAGAAGAAAGAAACAACGAATGGAATGAAGAGCGAGAAAGAGAAAGAGAAAGAGAGGAGAGAAAGAGAAATAAGAAGAATGGGCCACGAATATTAACTCGAAACAAACGACGATAACGAGACGAAAGTAGCGAGAGTAAAGTACTTTGAAGACTTTTAAAGTATGGAAAAGGGTACTGCCTTGAAAATGGTCGGAGTCCTTTTTCTCTCTATTTTGTTCCTTTCCTTTTCTTTTCCTTTTCTTTTTCTTTTTTCTTTTTTTTTTTTTTTATTTTTTATATTTTCGAGTAAAATACGCGAATCTCTCGCGATATTAGATCTCAAGTGCTTTTATTTCTGGTATTTTCGTGAATGTAGATAAAAGATAAAGAATGAATGAATAAAGAAAAACAAAGAGAATAAGAGCGAGAGAGAGAGAGAGAGAGAGACAAAAGAAAAATTAAATGAAACAAAAAAGGAAGAAAGAAACGGGGTCAGAAACTTCGAATTTACAAAGTAATTTTTATACGATTTTTTTTTTTAACCTTCCCCTCTTTCGTGACTCGTTACTGGACCCCAATTTCGAAGTTCTTATCAGTAACTAAAATGAATGGGGTTACCTTAATAAAAACAAATGAAAAAACCAGGGGCTTTTTTTTTCTTTCGTCGTTTGTTGCACGAGCAGAGCACAGTACGTAGCGTAGCGTTCTCATTTTCTAGCAAGTCCGGTTGGCTAAAAATGTGGGTTAAAGTGCAAAAGGCTAGGGACTAATTTATTCTTGTGAAACGTTACCGGAGAACGTGATAGTACCCTTTTTTTTATGTCCATTGGTTTACCTATATATATATATGTGTGTATGTATGTACATATATATATATATATATATATAGAAATATTAGTAATATATAAAAAACCATGGAAGATATATATATATATATATATATATATATATATATATATATAAACGTGACGTGTTTCGGTAAAAAAGAGTTAAGCTGTGAAAAATATCGATTTTGTCTTTTTCATGTTTTCTCTCTCTCTCTCTCTCTTTTTTTTTCTTTTTATAGAAAAGAATATGCTCTTATCAATGGGACCAACGCCAATCTTCTAGAATAATAATTCACTTCAAGATTCACTGTTAAAATAGTGTATTGATAATAAAATTCCACTGTGGAGTCCATAACTTTAAACCCGTCTATATCTCGTACGTCAGTTTCTTTTTAACAGAGCTTTTCGCATATGTATAGATAGAGAGTATTAGGTATTAGCAATATGTACGTGTGTATGTGTGTGTATGAATAAAACGAAATGACGAATTAATCGATGGAAGTTTCAGTTTATCGGGGCAAACGAGAGCGATTTCGCAGAAAAATCAGGTCAAAGTTATCGATGCACCGTTTTTTTTTTTCTTTTTTCGAATGAACATACAAAGAATAGAGGATGGAAGAGATACAAAAGTGCAAAGATACTACGAGTAGTATCGATGTTACTGAACGTTTGATTGAACATCTTTACCAATGAACATTACGAATGTATGGTAATAAAATTATTTGAATAGCTAATGACTACATTTTATCATGGACATTTTTATCGATTAAATCAATTAAAAAAGAAAAAAACGATCGGATTAATTAAATGAAATTATAATTAATAAATTATTTACAATATTGTGTTATCAATTAGAATGGTCAGAAAGAAATGATTAAATTAAATTAAAATGAAATTCCAATTGATAATTTTGCCAGGATAAATCTTCTCGATTAGACTGAAAAAATAAGATCCTTTTATTACAACTATTCTATATGTAAAGTAGTACGGAATCACTATTGTTAGCCTGATCTGTTAACCCTGTTAGCCAAATACAAGAACATCGACCTATGACATAGTTCGTCTAGCGTATATAATGTATGTACTCTAAACAAAAAACAAGAACAAAAAATAAATAAATAAATAAATAAATAAACAAAACAAAATATTTCAATTTATCGAAATGATCATCGAGAAAAAAAAGAATGGATTTCGTCTCCTATGCTTTTTTTTTTTTTTTTTTTACCTAAAATTAAAATACAGGTTGATCCAAAAATTCTTTAAATAATTTATAAAAATCAATTATGCCTTTTTTTTCGTTGATAACTTTGAACTGATATTTTTTATTCGGATCAGTAATAAAATGAGCTTGTAATCTTACAATTTGAAAGGGGGGGGGGAAAAAAAAGGAGGCTAAACTTAAAGAAAAGTCCTGAAAGAGAGTAGTTGGGTGATTTTAAAAATTAGTTAGGAACTTTTGGCCCATCCTGTACGAATAAAGAACACTCGTAGAGACACGTCGTCGTCGTCGAGACTCGTATTAGTACGATTCTCGCAATCGGTTGCAATCTTCTCGAATAAAAATCTTCTCGATGACGCGGCCCGGCGTGACTAAATAAGTTTAAGAGGCAGACGAACGTTTCCTCTTGTAGTAAAACGACACACCACTTTTGGCATCATTTTCTCGCCCTCGCACTTCCCTATTAATTAGTACATACATTATGTACATTCGTCCGACATATATATATATATATATATATATATACGTCGGATGAATGTATATATATATATTATATATATTATATATATTATATATATTATGTATATTAGGGGGACCAGAAAGTAATGTCGTTTCTGCGCATGTCGATATTTGATTGTGATTAAAAATAAAAATTTGTTAAAAATTTATTCGTTTGAATTTAATTTAAGAAAGCGACATTACTTTCCGGTCCCCCTAATATAAATCAACATTTATTTTGTTAATGCATTCAAGGTTTTTGAAATGATTTGAAATGGTTGTAATTTAGATTTAGTACTAATATAAATTTAAAGGAATGATAATTAATTGAGAAATACATTAGAAAGATTTTTTTAGATTTTTAAGATACTTTCTTTAACTTTTTTTTTTTTTTTTTTTTTTTTTTTTAATACGAAATATTATTTTTCTCTCTCTCTCTCTCTCTCTTTTTCTCTAATAAAAAGTAAGCTATCTTATTTTCCGTGAAATTTCTTTTCCGAGAATCTTTTCAAATATTCTCGTGTTTCATATCTATAAATCTATTTAATGAGACATTGAAAGATAATTCAATGTAAATGATATACGGTATTTTTCAAGGAAAAACTTCTAATATCATAGAAAACGTTAGAAATTTGATTGCTACATACGTAGTTCTATAGATAACTTTAATCATTCATTCTCATCAGTTTCAAAAGACAAAAATTCACATAATTATAATATGGTTTTACTTGTTTAAAAAAAGAGAAAAGAGTGAAAAATAAAAAGACTTTATGGTCGAATTTTGTCGACGTAGAGAAAAAGAAAAAGAATGAGAGAGATTGTGAGATCGTCTCAAGCGTACGTAATAATTAAAGTCCGTATTAATTAAAGGCAAGATTTAACAAGGCTTTTCCACTTTTATATACATTTAGTTACACTTTTTCTCTTTTGTTTCATGAACGAACGAATTGGTCGACAGAATGAAGTTGTGTTGGAGTTTAGCGTCGGTCTTCATCGTCACGTCGATGGTCGTCAGCACCGTCAGACCAGAATCTGTGTTTTGGGAGGAAAACGACAAGGAGATCCTTGTACGAACTGTACGTGGCACCAAGGAACGAGGTATGAAGCATTAACCTTAATTAATCATTTTGAAGAGAGAAAAAGGAAAAGAGAGAGCGAGAGAGAGAGAGAGAGAGAGAGAGAGAGAGAAAGAGAGATGTTGTTCCCTTGAGATTTTCCTTGAAATATTCAATCCAGTCTTTTCATTTTCCCTACAATATCTCGACAAGTGTATTCTCTCGAAAAAGATACATAGATCCTTTTGAATTAATAATAATCTAAAGAATTGTCTTGATCCCTTAACGAGACCAGATTACAATAATCGTGGGCCAATTAACGATTTCTATTTAATCTTTTCGTGTATAATCGTCGGTCATTAGATAATTAGAATAATTTAATCCTTATCAAACTCATTTTTAGGAACGCTAAAATTGCAATTATTTTTTTCTTTATTTTTCTATATTTTGTATTTTAGATAATACGTATAAATATATTTTATTAATAAATCTTATAATACATATATCAAAATGTTCTTTGAAGCATTAAAAATTTTAATACTTAATTAACAACATTTCCTTTTTAATTATAATATTCTTGGAGTTAATAAGAATTAAATATTCGTAAGTATACCTACTATATGTGTCGTCATTGCGTGTTGATAAATTCGTAATTGTATTAATAATACTATTCATTAGCCACGAGATGATAATTAAACCCTTATCTACCAATTACATTTCTCTTTCTTATATATCTAACTTTTTATAAGAAATTTTTACATTATTATAATAACCAATTGTATTATAAAGATGATCTACGCGTATTAAAATTTTTTCAAAATTTTTTTTCTAATTAATAATATCCTTGGATTGATAAGAATTAAATATTTAAGTATACCTTAATATATAAAGAGAACTTACACTTAAGAGCTTATAAAAGATTATCATAAATAAATAAATATATATATATATATATATATATATATATATATAATGGAAAGAGATGATTAATACAGACATTATGAATAATAACAAATAAAATCAAATACTATGAAAAAATTGATTATAGAGAACTATTTAAAAAAATGCAACTGAGATATTGAAATTTATGATACTGTCCGATTTTGTTTGTCATTATTCATAACGTCTGTATTAATTACTTAGCCCATATAACACATATAATATATAATATATAAAAATATATAAAATATATATATATATATGTATATAACAAATTCGTAGTCACGATAACATTATAATTATAATCTCTATGGCAATTTATCACAGGCATGTTTTTTCATTTCCAAATAATCCAAGTACGAAAGGAAAGATCGTTTACGCTTCAAACGCACACAGATATATACGAAGGAATCGGTATTATGTACGTAGGTATCAAACGAAAGAGAAAGAAAAAAAGATAGAGAGAGAGAGAGAGAAGAAACCGACGTAGAGAATAAATGTAAGCTCTTAAGCGTACGCTCTCTTTATACTACCTATACCTACGTATACATATATACTACGTTAGACTCTCGAGAAAGAGACTTTGCTTGAAAGCTCTCTTTGTACATCATCGTTCTTTTTCCTAACCCCCTTTCTCTCTTTCTCTCTCTCTCTCTTTCTCTCTCTCTCTCTCTCTCTCTCTCTCTCTTTCTCTCTCTTTCTTTTTTTTCACTTTTCTCCATCATCTTCCTACCCGTCTTCTTTTTTCTCAAGGAACGAGAAAGGAAAATATAGTTGCTGGAATATCATTCAACTGAGAAAAAGAAGAAAGAAATCGTGATATCTAAAATATTCTTCCTCTTCTTCCTCTCTCTCTCTCTCTCTCTCTCTCTCTCTCTCTCTCTCTCTCTCTCTCTCTCTCTCTCTCTCTCGTTTCTATCTCATTTCTTTCTTACTACAAGAGCTTTTTCCATGACCGCAAAAGCTCTCTGTGCTTAATCGATCGAGGTACACCGTGTTGTGCCGCATCGAGCCTTCGGGTATATAAACATATCAATGGCTCCCTTCTCTCTCTCTCACTCTCTCTTTCTTTTTCTCTCTCTTTCTCTCTCATGTTTTTTTACGCCAGAAAGCTCGATCCATCGGAAATCGAAGTGTCTTTCGTGATAACGGAAAAGAGAAGGTTTATGTTCGTGTTGATGCCGATGGTCTGATTAATACCAAGCGAAAGATAGATTTTATTAAAACAATCGTTTATAAATATGAGAAAATTAATTGGCTCTGACAAAATTTTTTTCTTACTGGATCATAATGAAAAATACGCGAGATTTGTTTTATAATAAAATTGTCATTACAGATAATCCAAATCGTAATTTTGTTTGCTGTTTATATATATATATATATATACATATAAGAAAGAGAAAGAAAGAAAAAAAAATATGTTACTCTTCTATTAATAATATAGTATGGATAAAACCATCCCAGAAATTAGTTTCAATTAGGAAAATTCTAATTCGATCAGAGAAAGTCAAGTTTCATGTCTTCCATGATAGGAGCCTTTCAAGGGTTGTGTTTAATTAAGAAGAAAGTAAAGTTTCAAACACGATTAAAAAGTTAAATTTCGTATCAACGTAATCGAGAGGTGACCACCAAAATGTATGGTCAATTTACAACTAATTTCAATTAACATTCGTATAAAATTAGTGTTATCTGAGTCGTTCTTTTTTCTTACTTTTTTGATATCTAATATTCAAACAAAATTTGCATATGATCAAATTTTTAAATACAAGATATCAAAGAAAATATTCCCATAAGAATGGGATGTTTCTAATACGATTAGAAAGTCATGTTTAGTATCGATGCGATCGAAAATGGACGGTTAATTTACAACGAATTTCAATTACCATCGTAATAACGTCGCGACAGTTTCCGTTTATGGTTCGAACGTGCAACGGTGTGAGAGTGCAATTATCGGTAACGCACGAGAACGATGAAGGCACGTTCGTTCGCAATTAAGGCCGCCGCCATCGCCAACGACGCCGTCGCCACCGACGACGACGACGACGACGACGACGACGACGACGACGACGACGACGACGCTATCGTCGTTGTTACATATATATTACGCTCTTCCAAGTTTCTCTATCCACTTGATCCGGCCGCGCTCTCCAATTATCTCTATTGACGTTTTGCATCTCTGATGCAGCATCCGGCAGCAGCGCCGCTTCGTGCAGATACGTCAAGGGTCAATGGTCGGAGTGCGATTCAAAAACCAACACTCGTTCCCGAACTCTTAGTCTTAAAAAGGGAGACAAATCTTGCGAACAGACTAAGACTATTCAGAAGAAATGCAAGAAAGGTAAAAGCGCATAATCTCGATTATACATATGTATCTATATCTATGTGTGTATGTGTATATATATATATATATATATATATATATATATGAGATTGAATCAACAGTTCCAAAATTTCTTCTTTCTTTCTTAAATTAATTACACTCTTTGTTCTAACTTTTTAAGCTAATTTTCTTTTCAGATTGTTAACGCTAGAGCTTTTGAAACTTTATAATATATATACACACACACACATTGACATATATATACATTGATCAACGATACAAAAGTTGTATGATTCTTGTTTTTTCTTATTTTTTTTTTTTTTTCGAAAATCAATATATGTTAATGGTAATCCCTCGTTAATAATCTCTCCTAAAGAATAACGATAACAGAGTTTATGGTCCTATGATTATATGCGTGGCGGGGAGAGCAGCGTGTCGGTACGAAAAGGGCACATGGAGCGGATGCGTGAATCAACTATCGACGAGAGTGGATAATTTGAAGGCGAACAGTGATCCCACTTGCGAGAAGACGCGTTTGATTACGAAGAGGTGCAAACCGGAGACCAATACCAAGAAATCTACCAAAGGAGGTATATATGTATTTATGTTTTCTAATTAAAGAAAAAAAAAAAAAATAAATAAATAAATAAATAAAGAGAGAGAAAAAAACGTTTTCTAAATATAAATATAAATGAATAAATTAAATAATATTTTTGTGTGTATACGAAAATGAAAAAGAATCGAGAAAAAAATAATTAATAGGTATATATTAATAATGATATTACTCAAAAAAAGTTTCGTGTCTCTCTCTCTCTCTCTCTCTCTCTCTTATAATAATAAATAAATTAAGTAGTAATAGATTTGTGTATGTTTGTGCATATGTGCATGCAAAATGGAAAGACACGAAAAAAAAAGAAAAAAATAAATAAATAAATTATTAAACGCTCTACTTTTTGCATATCTTTCATAAATATAAATAAATAAATTGAGTAACATTTTCGTATATCTAGAATAAAGGGAAAAAGAAAGAAAAAGCAGAGAAAGAGAGAGAAAAAAAAAGAGAGATTTTATCAAGACAAATAACATAAATATTCGGCGTTCGTTCGACTCAATAAAGAAGTGGAGGATAGCAACACCCACATCGATAACGAGAAGGGACCCTTCTCCCTCTGTCCTCTCTTCATCGAGTGTACTCGATGGCGGCATTGAAAGAGTTAAAGATAGCTTCTTGAAATGTCTCTAAGGGGTCATGGACAAAACGAATGGCAAACGTGATGCGCAAAAATGCTCTTCTCTTAAGCATAATTTCTCTCTCTCTCTCTTTCTCTTCCTTACTTAAAAAAAATTAAATATACATATATAATCAAACTTTTATTATTAATCGGAATTTCAATGACTACTATTATCACGTATGTGTCCAATCAAATGTCTTTTCAACTCTACAAATTTATTAATATATTAAATATATATATATATATTTATATAATATATTATATTTATATTTAATATAAAGTGATATATAATATTGGATTGACCAAAAATTTCTAAGTGATTTTAAAAATTGATTATTCTTTTTCGAGACTTTTTAGGCTACTTTTTAATTTAGTAAAAAAAGGACTTTTTAATTTAGTAAAAAAGTTTCTTTTAAATTTAGTAAAATTGCATAGGATAACTTGTCTAAAAAATGTCTTGAAAAAGAATAATTAACTTTTAATATCACTTAGGAACTATTGACTCATCTTATATATCTCATATCATTATGTGATCATTAGAGATTTATATATATATATCTATTATAGATCATTATATTATTATATTATAGATTTAATATTTTCTAATCTTTTTACAGGCGAACGATCGAACAAGAAGTCGGGCAAGCAGTAAGATAATTTTCTCGTTCAAACGTACCGTGTCCCTTTGTAAAACACATGGCGATCAGTAAAAATCCGACGACGGGCAACGAAAACAAAAAAAAAAAAAAAATAAAATGCATCCTTATGTTTCCTCTTCGACATATATATATAAATATGTTTTATTAACGAATTGTCGTTATTAATAAATCGCGAGTATACTTACTACGATCGAGACATTGTCGTCGATCGGTTGAAATAATAATAATAATAATAATAATAAATAAATAAATAAATAAATGAATGAATGAATGAATAAACGTTTCTGTGTACGCGTACAATTTTGTTGCGTAAGCAAAAAAAAAAAGAAAATCAAACAAAACAACATAGAAATGAATCTTCCTCGATTGTCTAATAAACAAATCTAATGATCGACATTAAAAAAAAAAAATCGATAAACGCACCTGATACCTTAAACGCGTACGTAAGAAGCGAAAAAAAAGAACAAACAAAGAAATCAAAACAAAATAAAAAATCAAAAAATAAACTCTCACGATATCACATTAAAGAGAATTATTATTATTATCTTATACTAATCGTGTCGATCGTATAGGATACTACTGCTTCTCTATACATACAATTATGATCAACTCTTCCATTTTCGTGGCCAAATCTTCTTACTCCGCGAGATACATTTTATATATATATATATTTTTTTTCCTTTTTTCTTAAAACTTCTTCAATTTTTTTCAACAAATAATTATATAATATAATACATATATTATATAATATATATATTAATATAATATATATATATATATTAATTAATTATTAATTTTATTTTTTCTTAAGAGGGAATTTCTCAAAAACGTTATTTGATAAGAGAAAGAGATAGAGAGATAGAGGTATCACCGTTAAGTATCCCTCAATAAAATCTTAAAATCTACTTGACTATTCGAGTTTTTAATCTTTCGAATATATTCGGAGATATATATATACGCACACATACAGAATGGACTGAAAATCTCTAAGTGGCCCAAAAGTTCGTAGGTAATCTTAAAAATCAATTACTCTCTTTTTCGAGATTTCTTATATATAGGCTAACTTTTCTTTTTTTTTTTTTTTAAGATTGTAAAACTACAAGCTCAGCTTATAAAACTGGAAGCCTAACTAGAAGCCTAAAAGGTCTCCTAAAGGAATCCAATTGATTTTTAATAATCACTTTAGAACTTTTGGACACGCCTTAGGACTTTTGGCCCATCCTGTACATATATATATTATTAACATATATATGTATATTATATATATACATATATATATTATATACATATATTATATATATATGTATATATATAATAACATTTTTATGACGTTAATCATGACAGATCTTTTCTCTGAGTCAAGCAGAAAGAAAAAAAAAGATAAAATTATGTATAACAAAAAAAAAAAAGAAAAAAAAAAATAGAAAAAAGAGGAAATACAAAATATAAATAATCCCATTCGATAATTTACAATCATATTGACCACGATTCTAAGCACGATATTAATTTTTTTTACTGATCTATATTTCGTTTTTTTTTGCTTCTGTTCCTTTAACTTTAATTTAACGGGGTACTTGAAATTAGTTTAAAAATTAAAAAAATTAAAAAAAAAAGAAAAAAAAACAAAGAAAAAGATAAAAATAGGAAGAAAAAAAAAGAAAGAAAGGAAGAAAATGCCATGTTAAAAATATTTTCCGACTTTACCAAATAGCTGTACGGTGTGTCGATGTTTAAAAAAATGATTGTGTATATTTTATATAATAATATGCACGATCTTCATAATAACGATTACATTGTCCGCAATATGTATTCTTAATATCTATTTTCGAACACACACACACACACATAAATACACGCGCGCTGACACGCACACACGCACGCACCCAAGCACGCAACACAAGTGTCTCTTCTATAGTTTCACAGTCGTTGGAAAAAAAAATAAATAAAATAAAAAATAATAAAATAGAAAACCAAAAAAAAAAAAAAGGAAACACGAAAAAAATAATTATATCCCGTATATCTCTCTCTCTGAATGGAACTCGCTAAGGAAACAAAAATAAATAAATTAATAAAATAAATTTTAAAAATAAATAAAATAAAATAAAATAAAATAAAATAAAATAAATAAATAAATAAATAAATAAATAAATAAATAAATAAATAAAGAAAAGCCGATGAGCATAAAAATCAAATGAACATATTACATTGTCTCGAAAAGTTTTATAATTCTCGATACTATCTCTCGGCCATGGTAATGTTTACCTTTTGGAGTCAAGAATGGCGTCTAAGAATTATAAAACATCTTTTCCGAAACTATAGAAAATCAAAATGTTTTTTTCCAAGCTCGACGAGATCGATATATGTTGTTTTTAAGTCTAAATGTGTATACAAAAGTTCGTCGGTTACGAGAACAATTACAACTACAACAATTACAACTACAATAATAAAAAGAAAAAAAAAATAAAAAAAATAAAAAAAAAATAAAAAAAGAAGAAAAAAGAAAAAAAAGTAATAAAAATAAAAGTTTTAAAAACGAAAACAAAAAAAAATATAATAAGAGGAAAAATAAGTAATTAATAAAATAAAATAAATAAATAAATATACAAAAGTCGAGTACGCCTTTTTGGTAACATTTTTCGTGCCTCGATTACGAAATAAATATATATCGAGTGTACACAGGCATGATCAAAAATCATAGTTTATCGTGTAGATAACGTATATATATATATATATATATATATATATATGCATATATATATACATATATATATATATATATATATATATATATATACGCCATATCATCGTGATGATTAAAAATAAAATTTATTGAAATAGTAGAATTTAAGATAGCATTATACACATTATACTTTCTCTATGGGCTCATTATTATTATATATAGTTATTATTATCATTAAGCGTGTCTATTAAGTATTAAACTAAAAATATCATGCTTGACTTCTCTGTGTATGGAACTTAAGAAACAAAAAAAAGAAAAAAGAAAAGAACAAAAAATAAAAAAGAGTTCTTTGTGTTTTAAACCGCATTGTAATATAGCATTAATAGAAAATATACGTTAAATAATTAGAAAAATTAATTTTTTCAAATCCTTCGATGATAGTAAACAGAATTTAGACTTTTAATGTCTCTCTCTCTCTCCTTACATGAGAATAAGAATTTCGATATGTAATTATTATTATTATTATTATTATTATTATTATTATTATTATTATTATTATTATTATTATTATTATTATTACTCTGTTTATTATTATTATTATTATTATTATTATTATTATTATTATTATTATTATTATTATTATTATTATTAATATTATTATTACTGTTCGCTTTGCAAATCTATAACATTATAATCGACGAAAATTTTCAAGTACATTATTATCGATATCATGCTCGATTACTGTCAAGTTTCATTGATACTCTGTTAAAATAGTTTAAGCTCGTTATTATAAATAAATTATCATCATCATTATTATTATTTTTTTTTTACATTATGCAGTAAGCATTTAGCCACTGCCACGAACACAATCAAATTTTATTAAATCGATTGAACTGAATAGTTAGTTCAGAGAGTTAAGATTTAATTTCTGTTTTATGTCTTTTTAAGAAATATTATTTCTTTCTAACTTCTTGACTAGAGTAAATCTTGTAGTTTATTTGAATCATCACTGGATTTATTTATGAATTGACATTACATAATAAAAAAAGAAAAAAAGATTGTATAATGTATCTACTTATTAAATAATATCATGTAACCATTACACATGTAACAAAAATCCAATGTTGTCAATAAAAATTAAATATTATATATAAAATCTAAATATAATATCGTATGTGCTTATATATTTCATTTCTTTATAATATTATTTTAATATTATAATTATAATCTTATTCCTATGAATAAAAAATTATGTTTAAGGAATGTTTATGCAAATAAAAGCATTTTATTCATAATGAAAAAATTGGCTATATAAAAAATACAAAATATTTTTATATATTATATCCTAAATATAATAGGTCATGCAAAGTACATCATATTTATTAATATAAAATCATGGACGGATTTAAATACTATCTTTGCTTTGACTATTATTAGAGATTTCTTTAAAGTCATTTCTTTTGCATGAATTTTTTTTTATACTATTAAAGATGTGAAACCTTTTGGTTTAACTCCAAACATCCTTAATTTATATTTTTAAAGTTCAAATAAAATACACGTACTTGTATATTAATATAAACAAAATCTTTCAAAAAGAGAAAATTATTTGTCATATAAAATTAATAAAAATGTAGTATATAAATATATATGTGTGTGTATAAGATTCTCTTTAGTACAGAAATGGACGGAATTAAAGTATGTAATAGAACGTATATCTCTCACAACCTATAAGAAAATAACATTCATAATATTGAGAGATCTTTGAACTATGTTTGCTAATAACAATATCCATAATTGTGCAATTATTTCTCTAAGAGAATTTTGTAAAAGCAGTAAATTATATATCTTTCCTATATATTTCTAGAAAGTATTTTAAAATGTTTCTCTGTTATGCTATAGAAACAGAAAGTTTACGCGAGTAAGTTTTTCCTTCCCATTCTTGGTCAGAAGGAAGAGATTCATGACGTACTTTACAAATACGTGGTCCATATTTGAGTAATATCATTATAACGCCAACTACAAAAAGTGTTAAACAGGCACTGGCTGGCCAAAACACGTGTAAACTCATTGTGCAGTAACTTTAAGCGACTTCTCGATTAAAACTTTGTTTTTTAAATCTATCAATTTTTCTTTCAATATTATTTTCTACTTTGTACAAATAAGAAACACAAAAGGTGGTTCTATGTTAATACTAAATCTTTGTAATATTCTCTGATTTTTGTACATACGTTTCTCAATCATAAAACATTAAAATTAAAGTGAAATTAAATTTCACTTTCACGTTTATGCATTTCCAAGTATTCCTGCGAATTAGAACCTTTTCCTTGAGATTCAGTATCGTGATATTCTATTACTTCAGACTTAACTATCGGTTGTGTAGTGTGAATAGATTCTAATTCGGTTAAATCCAGAGGTGGAGTTTTATGTGGCAATACAGTCCACAAAGATTGAATGTATCGATTTCCTAACAAAAATAAACTCAGATTAATTATATCTATAATCGAATATACCTATATGATGAGACCACATATAAACAACGAATAAATATAAAACATAACCTAAAGATAATAATAATAATAATAATTATCATATAAAGAAACAAGAAAATATTATCCAATAAATTTTAGATTTACCAGTATGACGATCTTGCCAATAAGCTCTGTGACGGGAACACCAGCAGAATATAATATTCAAAAGAAATATAAATCCACCTATTACGGAACAAATGGTGATGGTAATGTAAAAAGGTGTGAAATCTCCGTATTCGTGCTTTACAAAATATGGATTCTTCAGGTATTCTTCACGCTCGTCTAGAATGGACATTTTATAAATTTAAGACCTAGTTATTTCTGAAAAAGAAATAAAAAGAGAAACTTCTTGAGTACATAAATTTATGTGATTAAATCTTAAACAAATATGCACATATACATATTTATGATAAAAAAAAAAAAAAAAAAAAAAAACCCGCATAAAAAAATATATGATCTTTAATAAAATAATATACATTTTATTTAAAACTTAATCGCGTTATCATAACCTAACGATTAAAATATTTTAATGTTTGAGACTCAATAAAGACGAAGTTATGCGTAAACGAAGCGTCCTAAGGCGTGGCGTTCAACGTGTACTAATTCTCTTAATACCAAAAATCATCTCAAATATTATATATATAACATAATTAAAATAAATTAATATTAATAATTACTTATTAATTCAACTTTTATGTTTGTTTTTAATAAAAGAACGAAACTAAAAATTGAAAATATGAGTAATGCAAACAACAATAAATTATATGCTATGAATCCATCGATAACGATTTTACATACCATAGATCCTTTTCGTGTCTTCTCCTTTTAAATTTGCAAATACATACATGTATTCTTGATAAATAATATCAATTTATTTTGATTTCGTAAATATAAAGACACTTACAACAATTAATAAAGAACACACGACACATAAGACGCTGTTAAATACCGAACCATGTTGGAATGTGTTTAGTTACATCGAAACGTGTATTAGATCAAGTTGTATTGGGCGGGGCATGATAAATAGGAAGGGTTGAGTAGAGTGGAAACATTTCGTTGGATTTCTACGTACAATGATTACGTCATAGGACACTTAACCAATGAGAAACGAGATTGAAAATATCGAAAACATCGTTGTATATATCGACTCGAATATCGATATGTACATATATAAATACATCGAGTAAAACTTCTCTATTTTTAATTAAAGGTTATTCAGTAGTTCTGATGAACAATTTTAAAGACGAATCTAGGACATCTTTTTCAAATTTTTCAAAAAGTTTTTTTTCAAAAATAGTTTATTCACAAACAAAAATCTCACGATATATTGAAATCTAATTGTAAATCTCGCAAATATTAATCGAATAGTTGCATATTTCAATGTATTTTTAAAATTAATTTATAAGTTAGTTATAATTTTTTTAGACCTTTCTTCTTTTAGACCTTCTGTTTAAGCCTATTGTTCCGCTTATCTATAAACTTTTATTTAGATCTGTGTAAATATTCAATAAGGTTCAGAATATGCAATTTATAAGATTTACGTATATATAATTTATATATACCGTGTATTTACACCTAGATACATAAATTCAAATTCAAATTCAAATTCAAATTATAATATATATTAGAATTTAAAGTTATTAACTTAATTCTATCTTATTATATAGACAGAGTATATCTTATCTTTAATACCTTATAGATACTCCTTACAATGGATTTGAAATTTTCTTTTACTTTTGCGTTGCTATTGGCGCAGATTGACTCGATGATTTGGAATCACGCATAGAAGCACTACGTCTTCGTTTAATTTCTTCTTTGCGTCTATTCTTTGCCTCCTTTTGTCTTTGAGCTAACAACTTAGCATAATCAGCAGCTTGCTCCTTGCGTGCCAAGCAACGCCTCTTTTTCAATGCACGCCTATGTCTTCTTCTCTGTAAAAATATAAATAAAATAAATTAGTATAATTTAAATGACTTAATAATTTCAATACATGTCAATAGATATTTCTTCTTTTTTATTATACCTGTAACGTCAATGGAGTAATTAAACGTTGTATTTTAGGCGCCTTTAGTCGTTCTTTCTTGCCTTCTTTCTGAACAGGTCTTTTAACGACGAATTGACGTACGTCATCTTCCTTTGTAAGATTAAAAAGCTTACGGATTTTACTAGCTCTCTTTGGTCCCAAACGACGCGGAACTTGCGTATCGGTAAGTCCAGGAATTTCCTAAATAAAAATAAATATTAATAGAATAATAATAACATACCTAATTACTTAATAATAGAAATAATTTATATGAATTTTTAATTGTCTCGTTAGTACACTGAGAAAGAGTCAAAATAATGGAACAATTTCCCAAATTAAAACGATAATTGATCTACCATGCCTACGATAGTACTTCAAGATTATTTATCATTCTTGTGTACACCCTTAAATAACATGGATACATATAGCATTTTCATGTTTATCTTACCTGCTCTCCTTTCTTCACAATTACCAAGGCAAGTACCGACAAATTCGCATCGACGATGCAACCACGTACAGATTTACGTTTCCTTTCTCCATCGCGTCTGGGTCTGTAGCAAGAATGTCCCTTTGATAGTAATAATCGTACACGACCTATTAAAAGTATCGTCATAAAATTATCCTTACAACAAAGAAAGTTATATATAGATTAAATGAAATTTTTAAAAATACTTGCCATTAGTTAAAATACCCTGTTTCATAGGGAAACCTTGTTTGTCATTACCACCAGCAATACGTACTACATATCCCTTCCATTCATCGCCAAGAGAATCGGCTTCTACCTCTGCTCCCATTCGTTTTTCGTAAAACATTCGGAGCTTGTGCTCGTCCGAAATCTCGAATAATTTTTGGCATCCTGTAGCCGGGAATGATACGTTCAACTGTAAAAGAACAATCGCTAATGATTAACATTAAGGAAAATTCAATTAAAATTTTATTATAAATGTAAAAGATTAAATTGTGTTCTCAGCGCGTTAATTCGGTAATAATTTTAATCAGAAAAACAATTACATCGAAAATTCATTATCTTAAACGAATAATATATCATTATATGAGACATAGAAATATATAATCGTGTACTTTTAACACTAATAAACAATTACGAATAGCGGCTGCAACATATGACGCCGATGATTTGAATAACCTGTATTGAATATGAAAACACACTTTGTTAAAATTATTAATGTGAAAGAAATATACGCAAGCCTTTATAATATCTTTAAAAGTAATCAAATTTTTTAAGGGAAAATGGATCTCGAAAATATTATTGGATTCGTACCTTCATTGTGATAAAATCTAAATACCACTAAGAGCCGTGAACGAGAAAGACCATTAACAAGAAATGTATCGGATATCTTTCAGATTATTGCAACGCTGCTTTCTGATTGGCTTGTGAGCTTCCGTGTGGCGTGACTGCCACGCTCTCTAGCGACGTTGTTGAACTATCACATACCTATAATAATGGAGATATATTTAAAATAAATTTAATTTTATTTAACAAATTTTTTTCATTTAAAAAAAAAAGAAAATTTTTATATACATTTATAAATTATTAATAATAATATATTAAGTATACATAAAAATGATATATTAATATCATTTTTGTACTCATTGCAATTTATCATCATATTTATTGTATATATTGTATAGTAAATGTTTAATTATTTATTATTGTTAAGTGATAAGTTTTCAAGAATATCACCTTCTTTTCTATTTATATTTTCTAATAATACCAGTTAAAAAATGATTTCGAAAAAGTGATTGACTTGATTATATATAATTGAAAAAGTTATTACTGCAGATACCCCAAGCAAAAGATTTTATATTTATGAATATCTTTTTAACATGACTATATTCCAAATAGTGAATAATATATATTAGAAAAAAATGTTGCGAAAGATCGATTGATATTATTAGAAGAGATGTAAGTTAAAAAAATACACTAATTACCTATAATCAACAAGGGCGATTCAGATTTTGTATTAAAGTATTATTCACTGTATCGATATGACGTCACGTTTATCACCAGGATAGTTAAATTATTCTCATCGCGCATGCGCAATAAAATAAATATATTATTATTACAAAATAAATATATTAATTTCTTTATCTATTATCAATATATACAATATAATAATAAATATAATAATCAAAAAGATTTTATTAATCGCTATTGTCAACATAAAGATAAATCTATTTTTTTTTTTTTTTTTTTTTTACTAAACAATTTCCTATCAAACATATTTTTTTTTTAATTTCTATTTCATGATGTAAAAAAAGAAATAATTAGTACATTGAATATTAAATTTCTATTTATGATAGATCCCTTTTGTAAATATTCTAAAAGAATAATATTTTGTAAAATTATGATTTATAAATATTTAATTATGTGTAATTTATATATATGAAAACTTCATACAGAAAAGAATTTCTTACTATACTCTTACTTAATTTATAATCACCATATATATGTGTGTATATATATATATATATATATAAAACATATCTTTCTTTTTTAATATAGTGACATAAAAGTTAAGATTATTTTTATTGTTATTAAATGTATGTTTGTGTATATTCGTGAATATGGAATGAAAACCAATGAGATGCAAATGTGTAAAATAAAATCAATAAATTTCTAAAGAACATTGAAATATTTTATACAATTTCTATATATTGACAGTGAATTATATATTAATACAATTTTGTTTTCTTTGAAAATGCTTCCGTCATCTTTTTTGCAAATATTACGATGTAAGTCTATTTAAATCGATATAAAATAATACATTGCTATTATTGTTATTGATTTTAAAACTACGAAAACTTTATTAATTGTGTTACTGTTATAAATTATTATTGGTTATGTAACTAATATAAATTCGTTATAGTTCAAACATGTCGGATGTCACAATTTACATTTGTACCTGTATCCAATCCTGTCAGACAAGAAGATATATTACAATTAAGAAACTTTATAGAAAATAACAATGAAATATGCGTCTTAACCGGTGCTGGGGTTTCCACTGAAAGTGGAATTCCAGATTATAGATCTGCAGGTGTTGGTATTTATGCTAGAAGCAGTCGAAGACCGGTTCTTTATAAAGATTTTTGTTCTAATGAATTTATTAGAAGACGATATTGGGCACGAAATTATGTAGGATGGCCTAGGTTTGAATTCTTTTTTTTGTTTTTTTTTTTCAATTTAAATAAAATAAATTCTAAAGCATATTATAATTGAATACATATAGAAATTTTTATAACATAGATTTTCAACGTTTCAACCAAATGATACTCATAAAGTATTAAAAAATCTTGAAGAAATTGGCAAGATATCATGTATTGTTACACAAAATGTGGATAATTTACATACAAAAGCTGGAAATAGAAATGTTATAGAACTTCATGGTACAGCTTTTCGAGTAATGTGTCTTAATTGTAATCATAAAATGGAACGGTCTAATTTTCAAAATATTCTTAAGGAACTCAATCCACTTTTAAATAGTCATAGCGAAATGATAAGGCCTGACGGAGATGTAGATTTAACTCAGGTATTTTTTGATAATAATTTAATAAATATTACGCATATATGTATTTTTATAACAATTCATACAATTTTTTATAGCAAGAGACTGAAGAATTTAATGTTCCACCGTGTGGAAATTGTGGTGGTGTATTGAAACCAGACATAGTCTTTTTTGGTGATAATGTACCTCGTCATGTTGTAGAAAATGTAAAAAATATAGTAGAGCAATCGAGTTCATTATTAATTTTAGGAACATCTTTAAGTACATTTTCTGGTTATAGAATAGTACTTCAAGCTTTAAATGCTAAAAAACCTATAATATTAGTAAATATTGGTAAAACTAGAGCTGATAATGATATATCTATTAGAATAGAAGGAAGATGTGGATATATACTCCCTGAAGCTTGTAGATTTAATAATTCAATTATAAAAAATAAAGTTTATTCTTAACTGTACTCATTAATGTTGTTCATTTTTTGCTCACAAAATCGTATTCTTATTAAATTGTAATATTTACAATTTGCAAATGAAATATTTTTTTTGTACTGTTAACATATAAATATTTTATGAAATCATGTTTACCTTTTAAATATGTATGGACAAGATTAGAAAACATTATTATATGATATTTAATATAGATTTAATGTTTCATTACAAATGTTTAATGACATAATCATTTATGACGTGTGTATTGTTATTTCATCAATTGGAAGATTTAGATTCTTTAGCATGTTGAAGACTCTGTGTAATATATAATTTAGCTAAGCTTTGTGCACAGAATTGTGATATATGTTCACTGTAAGTGTTAATTTGTCCTGCGACAATCATTGGATTTAATCTTGGTGGTACTGGTAATGGTCTCATTATTTTGTTGATATCATCATCGGGAAGTGGTGGTTCATCTTTAGCAGCTCTTGCTGCATTTTCTTGAGCTCTCTTTGCTAACAATCGATTTTTGTCCTGTTGCTGTCGAACAACCAATTGTTGATATCTATTGAATTTCATAGCTTCTTGATTTAATTCATCTACACGATCCATTAAACAACGTAATTGATTTTCCAATACTGTAGCAGTTCCAAGATCTAAATATTTAGTGCCTTCTTCTTCTGGAATCATTTCTTCTAATTCTGACATCATAATATTTGTTAAATTACTATTTTTTATAACAACAGGAATTTCAACGAAAAGACTTTCATAACCGATCTTAAGTGCCCGTAAAGCTTCGGGAGTAAATTCGCCTTCCTTATACATTTGTATAGCTTGTGGTGTGAGACGATAAGCTTTAAGAGTTAAAAACCCTCTGGCCGACTTGGCAGTATCATAAATAAGCACAACAGATTCTTCTATAGACGTTTGATAATGATATTGTGATTCTAAAAGTGATACATTTAAAAAATTACCAACATCTGCACTTTGATACCATCCAACGTGAAAATGATCAACGTTAACCCTATATATAATAAGAAATACAATGGATATATAATATAAATAATTTGAACTATATTACAAGATTTATTTGTACATACCATCTAAGTCTACGCATCATAGCTAATTGATATTCCTCTTCGTCGGCGATTTCGTCATTTTTAGGGAAAGGAAAACAATTGGTTATTTCCAATCTGTTTTGTACAACTAAACCAAGAAGTGCACCTTGTGCAACTTCCATGTTGCTCATAGACTCCTCATGACAATGTTTTACCATTTTCATTACAACTAATCCATCGCATTGAACATAATCTATACGTGGTTCTACTTCAGGAATTCTTCTTGATTGTGTTCTTGAAGCCATTTTGATAGAAAGAAATAATAGATTTTATAAGCTACGAAAAACGTGACTTTTATCGAAGTCTGTCACTCAGATTCGCGCACAATGCCTACCCATGCCGATGATGGGGAATAAAACAGTCATAGAGTTTCCTTACAATAGAAATATCGTATTATAACTAATATGTTGATTAAGCGCTATCTCGTGGCAAAAGAAAAATTTTCATTCTAAATTTTACAAATTAATCTGTAAAAAAAATTGAATAAAATTATATAAAAGGATTAAATTAAATAGAATTGAATAATATTTTCAATTTGATTCGATGATTTACATTTCTATGAAATAATTCGTCAATGATTTACCACGTGACCAAAGATTAATTCGTCAAGGATATATGATGTATCTATAGATTGATTAGTTAATGGTTCATCATATATCTACGAAGTAGTTCGTCAATGATTCATAACGTTCTACAGAATAATTCGTCAATGCACAATTACAGTAGGTCGTCCACAAGGGATTAATCGTTTATAATTAATTGTTATATATTAATATTATAAAAATATATTATGCTACAATAAAAATCATTGTACGATTAAATATTACTTGCATATATCATTATAGTATTATCTGTATAATATTATTATATTTAATATATCTATATATTATTGTGTTATTTTCTAGACATGTACAGAGAGAGAGAGAGAGAGAGAGAGAGAGGGAGAGAGACAGAGAATGTTATTTATCTTTATAAAAGAATGTTATTTGATTTGAAAGTATGCGATTTTGATTCGTCACTTTTATAAATAATCAGTTGAGATATTAATAGTTAAATATATCCTTTAATAAATAAAGAAATAATTTTGTTTATCACAAAATGATAAATAATGAATAATTATTGATTATTCTAAAGTCTAACGTTATAGATAATAAGTTTTTTGAAACTTACTACCAGGTAGCGCTTCAATCACTCTGTATTTAGGTTTGAATTACTACGACTTTACAATTACGCCATGAATTTTTATGAATTCAATTTTTGTTCGATTTTGTTTATTAAGAAATTCATTCGAATGACAAAAATATTTTTTTATACGAGATCATTATTGTGGCTACAGTAGATCATCATACATTGACTGATGTTCCAGTTCAGATTTTTCAATTTACGCGCGGCCATGGCGCGAGGGGCAAATGTAATTTACAGAGGCACACACATCGATACGAGGGATCGAGAGGAGGGATAGGATTCTCCTAACGCATTTTTAGTTCATTTTTTTTCCGCTATCGTCGCTATAGTCACATACGTCTCGAGCGATATTGGTTGAACAGTTTTAATACCATCGTGTTCGTTTGTAGTTGGAAAAGACGGAAAAAGTGTATAACGGAGTCTTAGTCGTCGTCGTTGCAAAATATAACCTCTTAAATAAAATGATACAATTTTTATCTGGATCGCTTAAAGTTTTGTTCTTTCGACAAATTTGACTTAACCAAACTTGAATTGCTTTATTAACGCGGTAATAAACTAAATATACGCATCATGAAAGTTATCGTGAAAAAACTTCAGGGAAAAGAATATATTATCGATGTGAGTGATACAAATATTTTAAATTTTGTAAACTTTTACTATGTTTCTTATTTATATATATATATATGTATATATATATATATATATATACACGTATATATATACATTTACATATACGTATACATATACGTATATATATATATATACACATATGTATGTATATATATATATATATAGATACAGATACACACAATCTTATTTCAATTGATTTAATTAGAAATTCATGCTAATTTAGAAGAAATATCGTGTATTTTATGTTATCTGTCGTGCATGATTTATTCCATTGTTTCAGATTATGCCAACAGAAACTGTCCTACAACTGAAACATAAATTAAGTGACCTTTTAGGCATTGAGGTACCACAACAAAGATTATTGCTTACAGGCAAAACATTGGCTGGTAAGATGATTTAATATTGCATTTAAGAATTTATATGTGTATATAAACACACGTTCACACACGCATACACATATGTAAAAGGAAATTTTATCTTATTATCAATCGTATTCGATTTTAGATGAACAGCCATTAAGTTTTTATCCAGCAATTAAGGATGGAAGTAGACTTAACTTAGTTGTTATAAAGAAAGCAGAAGAAGGACCAAGTGAGGCTAAATCTTATCACAAAACTGGAACACAAATTTTGAGAGATGAGGTTACCAGAGTTTTAAGGCATTATTATACAGAATCTGAAGCAGAATCAATCGTTAATGAGTTAATAAAAGACTTGAAGAACAAAGTAAATAACCTTAGTTACGACGACTTGGAAAGATTCGCAACAGCATTATTACAGGACCAAGAAAATATAGCTTAAGATTATTTCAATTTTGCAATATCGCTTATCAATCGAATATAACTTTATTTAATCGATATCTTGCCTCATTGTACCCCACATTCGATAGTATTTAAGAAAGATAAATATCATATATATCATCGGGAAATGTTAATTAATTTTTTCTTTTATATTTCTTCTTTTTTATTGTTTTACGGTACAATCGCGAAAAAAAGAATATACGTTTACAACAATGATCTAATATGGATCAGCAAGATCCACTTGACGGTAATATCTTGCTACCAGACATATGAACAAATTTAGTGCTCTTATTTCGTGTTCTTCCAACTTTTTCTAAATAAACAGAAATGTGTAGCATTAGACGTGTAATTTTTATAAAAATTTACGATTCAAGAAAAGTTCAGTAATTGAAGCATATCTTATTATATATTACATTTTATATTAAGCTTTTACTGAAATTAACATAATTTATAATCAATGCCAAAATTGTGAGTATAGTTATTTATAAGAAATTTTTGTTTTTATAAAATATCTTAATTTTTTTTTTCTTCCCATTAGAACAAAATCGTACTGAACTTTTCTTAAAATGAAAAATATTGTAAGTAAATATATATTACAGAATTTGCTCTAATAACAGAACATGCCCTTGCCAAAGAACGTAAGCAGGAGCATGTATCAGGATTCAATGGTAAATCCAAACCAACCAATAAAGCATAGAGCCATTGTCCGATTTTGTATTCAATTTTTCCTTGTGTTTGTACATACTCAACTAAATATTCCAAGACTTGTTCTATTAATGGTTGTTTCATACGTAAAAGTATTGTCAATGTTGGATTACGAGTTTTGTTCTCATTGCTACATTCCTCAGAACAGCAAGCGATCCAACCACGTTGATCATCTATACTAGGCTGAAATGGTAATCACAAGTATTCTTTTAAATAAAATCTATATTATGCTTTTAGTAATCCAAAAAAGGTATATATTTATCTACCACTTGTGTCTCTTGAGATTTCCATTTGCATTTAAATTTTTTTATTTCATCTTTCATTTGAATAACGTACAATTTTAAATCTTTAAAATTTCCTAATTGACGTTCTTGCCAATCACTAGTAGGTCCGAGACATGGTGGTGCTTCGACACATCCTGCCAACTATTATTATATTTATTTTGTGATGTTTAAATAATACTATGTTAAATGTAATTTATTAGTATCGCATTGACTTACATTCTCAACATATATTGTAGGTTTCTTCAAACATTCTCGATCTATATCAGCCACTACTACGTCAGCACATTGTTGAGCTTCTATTCTAGAAATAGAAAATAAAACGATGAAGAAATGTGAATATATTTTATCTTGTTAATGTATATAAAATAATACAGTAATACTTACACTACACGCTTGATGTAGTCTCCTCCAGAAATTGGAGGTTGTTTGAGATCAATATCTTCATCGATATTACCTACATAAAACGCTGGTTCTCTTAAAGAATCCATTTCATTTCTTCTTTATAAATATTGATATATATTATCAATTTTACAAT